ATGAAAATGCTGTAGCCCAGCCTATTGCAACCCGGTCGGCAAGCTGTTGTTAACAGCAGGCGTTACTACTCGACTGGATATCTAGAAAATGCACAATAGTATGTACGAGTTCTACATTTCATTTTTTACCTACATTGTAGATCCTGGTCTATTACATTTTTCTGTGCCTCTTTTAATGAGATGCTTTTTTTTTTAGTTTATTACAAAACATATTCCCAGGTGGGTACATAGCTGTTGCTTTCAGTGATAGTGATTGCTTTATGTTGAGAATCAGCTGGCAGTATACATGCAGGCAGAGGTAGATCATTCCTGTGCGCATTATATATCCCTCAGGGCAGGGACTGACACTGGTCTGCGTTCTGTCTCTGTGGACTGCAGGGATATCTGAATGAAGATTTTCCTGAGGATGTCTGACAGTGTCTGGGCAGTAGGTAGTTGTGCTCTGGCAAGGACACAGAGAGGCCACCCAGGTATGATTGGGGCTGGGCGGAGCTGATGGTGTTGGACGATGTTGACCCTCGTCACCTGCGGGGTTTCCTCTTGCCTGGAAGTCTGTGTTTTTCAACCTTGTCGTAATGTCATTCTTGTTGTCCTTGTAGGTTTCCAGCAGGCCCGATCATTGTGAGACCTGCAGAATGTGCTGGAATACAATCAAATCAGGCATTTAGAAAGCAATTTAAAATCTGTTAAATTGTTTCATTTTCTACAGAAAGTGAAACCATTACTTAGTTATTAGCCTGGAGTTCTTGTTTGTTTTTTATATCTGCTTTGGGGGAAAAAAAACAATGCTAGTAATTTCACCAGCACTACTTGATCTTTCACATTAAGACAGGACCATTCAAATTAATGAGTTCAGACTTCAGCAGGTTTGCAGACTGCTGGACAAATTGTAAATTCAAGGGAATTTTATTTTTAATAATAGTTCCTTACCCTTGCTTAGTACTTCTCTGGACACTGCACTTTACAGGTAATGGTAACTCCCCTCCACCACCAGTGTGCAGCCCCACCTGGATGATGCGCCAGTCCACTCACCACAGTGGGGAGAACACTGGTGAAGCCAAATCAGAGATTAGGAGGCCATGATTGGTAAGGGTTAATGGGAAATTTGGCCAGGAGTAACACAGCTACTGTGCCTTTTTACAGTATAGTGTCCCCCTCACTATACTGGGGCATTAGGAACCACACAGACCGCAGAGTGAGCGCTCCCTAATGGTCCCACTAACAGCTCTTCCGGCAGCAGCCTTAGTTTTTCCCAGGAGTCTCCCATCCAGTTACTGGCCAGGCTCACACCTGCTGAGCTTTGCTGGATTGTCAGTTGTGAGTTGCAGGGTGATAGAGCAGCTGGCCATATTAGGTAGCAGGCAGTTACATGAAAGTTGCACAAACTATTTAGCAGGACATGAGGAAACTGCTATAATTCTGTTGTATTAGTGCGACTTGGTTAAAGTCTAGTGTGAATTATAGGAAATCAGGTTTAGTGAGGAATTGAAACCTTGTTTCTGTTTTTACTGTTAATGTTTTAAGCAAGCTAGTCCTGTACAGCATAGTCATAGATTTACGTAACTGATCATAGTTAAAGATCTGAATTAGCACGTGTTCTGAGGTGGACTTGATTACTTTGTTTGTTACTCGGTTACAAACTTTGCCATTGTTTTATCAGGCTATAAACTTTTATGCTGGGTTGAGATATTGAGCTGCCCTTGTACATGCGTCGTTTGACATACTGATAGTCAGAGGGGCGCATTAAAATTGTTCAAGTGTAGTTGTGAATTTTCAATTTCTCTTTTTCGTTACTTAGCCTTTTATGATGACATCGCAAACCTGTTAGCAGTAATGCATTTAGTTTCGACCTTGGAATGATACTAACTTACTGTAAAGGAGTGGGAAAATAAGTTGAAAAAACAGAATTCACCCAAACTTTAATGAACCAAGGTTTGTATTGGCAGCACCTCCTAGAAGCTTGGGCCTATTGGCAGGAGAACAGAAAGTGTTCAGTCTGACTTGTCTTACGACTGGTGCTTCAGTAATAGTCATGCTGTGGATGCCAGTATATCTAGACCTTACAAACCCATTTCAGAATACAGTAGAGCTGTAGAAGACTTTTCAAGGACAGCAGGTTGGGTATTCTTCCTGAGATGCTAATGTGTAATAGTTTTACTTTTTTTTTAATTGCACAGCACTGGAGGCTGTTGCGAAGTGACATGATAAACTCTTACTGAACACAACAGTTAATTTTTTTTATTTGCCACATCGCATGGCAGGGTCTTTGAATGTTTATTAGACTACTCAAATTTGGGGGGGCAGGGGGCTTCCCAGAAAAGGGGGTGCACTTTTCACCCCCAGGACAGGTAGTGTGCAAGATTACAAATGGGTCAGCTTTGCTTCATCAGTGGTACCTGGTCTGATAGTTTACAGTGTACCTTCCAAATGTGAAACAGCCCCTGAAATAAGGTCTACAGGTTTTTATTTTGCCACAAGGTGTAGGAAGGTGAATTTACCTTTCAGCTGTGGGTTTTGTGGGTTGAGATTGTTTTTATTTAAGCCACCTGTGAAGTGGGTTTCTCTGGCACAAAATGTGTTGCGGTAGAGCATATGAACATCACTGAATCACATAGACCTTTGCTGTGGCTAACCCACAGTCAATTTCAATGGTGTACAATGGGCTTGGTTTGTTAAGGTCTTAACATGCACTTGTCTCCTTTACATGAGATATGAACATTTGAGTTGAGAATTAATCTCGGTGGTCAAAGTCCTTATTCATAAGGTTTATTTCCATATTTAGGTCAGGGATTGGAAACTGGGCATTGAGTTTTCTGGGCTGCAGTGATCACCCGGTTTGTAATAAAGCAGTAGCTAGCATTAAGATGGATTCATTAAATAGTCCAAATTATTGTTTGCCTGTTGATTTAAAGCCAAAAATTATATTTATTTCAGCGTGTGAACAATCTACACAATACCTACGTAAAAAATGTAGGTTGCATACAGGATAGGAATAAGAGTTTAATTCCATGCCATAAAGTAAAAATAAGGAAAGCATTTTTGCTGTGTATCCTTATTTACAGCTGAAATTGTTTCTTTCAACATTTCAGCATGTCATTGATCTCTGCTTGTTTGCAGCTTGTGGACTGATGCTGCTCCACACTTGAACATACAGACTAACCATTTTAATTCCAGGCAGGTATCTGACTACATTAACTGCAGTCCCAGGTTTACGTCTGCTGTAGATTTCAGCAAACAGATTCTTTATATGTAGGTTATGGATGTGCTTATGTATCCAATTATGCGCTAGTTACTAGTTTGGCTCACACTTGTATCCAAATAACTTATTTGCTGGATATTTTACAAGAATAATTTAGATGCAATGCTTTGCTCAAGGGTACAAAAGCAGTGTCTCGCCTAGTATTCTGACTCGCTGCCCTCCAGGTATGAGTCAAACCTAACCAAGTCCTCACACTGCTGCCTATGTGATATTATGGGTCAGTTTTTATGCAGGTATGTCTTCCTGAAAGCAAGTTGAGAAGGCTTGTCCTTGGAGTAGAGTGTGTTAAAAGTAAATATCTGAAGGTTGCTGTATGTTTTGAAGGTCACTCCCCTGCAGGGACAGTTCTCGTATGCAGGTTTGCCTTGAATTGTTCACAAGTCTCAGCTCCTAAGCTTTGGACAGCTGGAGTGTCTTGAAACCAAACACAAAATGAGAGAAACGTGAAGTTGTTTGCCTGCTGTTAGCTTGTTTGTTTTCGAGTATAGTAAATGTGGCGTTGTTGTTTTTGCTGTCCCAGTTCACGGATAACCTTGATGTTGAATCTGCTGCATAGAACAGTACAGGATTTTCTGTTTTGTTGAGTCTTTCACTTGTCTTTCCACTCCCAGGTTGGGTCTCAATGTCTTATTCCCCAGTTCAGTAGCCCCAGAATTCAGTACAGTTGATTTTCCTGTGTGACTTTTTTAAGGAAACAGGGGTTGAGATTCAAGTTGCGTTTTGACATAGTCCTTTCCCACTGTTGTGTTAATCCTAGGCTGGACACTGCAACAGATGTAAAACAAGCAGGCCATTAACATTACTTGCTAGGAAGGTAAGTGTGGTTCAAAATACTCTAGCTAATATTAATTTTTAAGAAGTAACCAAAAGGTGTTTTGTTCTACATAAGCTATATTACTCTCTAATTGCTGTGTTTATCATGATTTGTCTTCATAGTGTTTGCAACATGGTACACAGGAATTATTTTATTTTCAGTAAGCATCCAATATGTCAGTTCATCTCAGTAGCATAATGAGTTAAATTTTTGTTTGCCAGACTGATTTGATATTGTTACTACCCAAGTTAAAAAATAAATGTTGCAGGGTTGAACAGGTGTTTTTCTTCAACAAATCATTAGCAAGAAAAAGCCCAGTGCTCTTAACTCATGTACTGTGTGTAGTGCATGACCACAGTATACCAGTGTGAGTGTTAAGTTGTAGGCTGGCAGTACCATTGTAATATTTTCATCAATTACTAGCTGTGCGTTTCAGCACTGTGTGAAACTGAGCACTGCAAATCTAACCAGGGATCAATATACAAAGTTGAAAACCACTGAATTACAAAATAGAAGCTCAGGAGATGTCACAGAATCCTGTGCACTGTTAAAACCCAAGTAGTTTTGGTAGAACAGGTTCTTTAATAGTTTTTACATACCGTCCCAAGGACAAGTGAGACGAGACCATTTCCAAGCCAGCTGAACTAAACTGTAAATAGTTTCCCTGGTTCAAATCGGTTTATTCCCACAGCTCAGAGGTCAGTGAATACTTGAACTGAAACTGGTGAGAATGCAGAGGTGACTCTTCCCTTTTTACTGGGGGAAGAACCCTGGGACTCCACTGGCCTGTGATGTGTACTGACGTCTGCATACATCCCAAAGATTTAGCTTTTGTCTGAATTTGTGTGAATGTTACAGTTTTGGTGGCAACGTGGGGGGAAAAAGAATCAATTGGTTATTTATTCTTTGTGAAACTGGTTAAAAGTCCCGTGTCAGCAGAAAGACCCCCACCCCCCACCCCCAGCCTGAATAGAGGATTAATCCCTGGGGAGCCAGGAGTTCAGGGGAATGAGATCGGTTGGCAGCAAGACAGTGGCAGCTTGTAAGGTTAAAATAAGGAGGATGTAAAAAGGAGGGAATTTCCAATGACTTGATGCTTTAAACGCTTTGTTGCATTTATACGTTATGATGGCAAAAGGCCTGTTAAATGCAAAGTGACATTCCATTCCCTCCTTTGTCATCTTACATGTTGCAATATCTCTGTGATGAATGAGGGAGTACAATCTTTATACGGAAGTTGAACACCTTTTTGAGTGCTCAGTGTTTGCACACTTCCGCTAACCAAGGTGATCCTGGAGTAAACTGTTCACAACATTGAGCCGATGATTATTCAGTTCATACCGTGCCAGCAGTCATAAGCCATTGAACAGTCACCAGTATATTTTAGCAGAAATACACTTAGCAGCGTTTGTTGTGATTGTGTGAGGGAACGATAGTCAGAAGGTGACTTTTCCGTTCTTAGTGTTTGCAATTCTGAAATGCCGAATGAAAATGAGCCAGGGGTCTTCGCGTCCTAATTAACACGTCTGTGACAGGTTCCTCATTTTGAGTGACTTCTCTCAGCTTGAAACGTCTGTAAGAGGGGACATGTTCAAAATTCCTTTGCCTGCCGCAACCCCAGAATAAGGGCTTGTGTTGACTTTTAAAAATGGAGTTTAAGGCCAGTAGATGTGCTTCTCCTGGATGGAAGACTTGCCGAGGTGGGGTGTGGCTGAAATCAATCTTGTGCATTTTCTGCAGGCGTTGCTTCTCTAGGAACAGTGCTGGTCCACAGCTAGCGGAGCTTTCGGTGCGCAGTGGGGGTAGCGCCGCAGCTCATATCAAGCTGCTTTGCCCACGGCAAACCCAGGAGGGCTTACAGCATAGAGGGACGGTGTGTTTGCAGTCTCTGAAGTGGGAAGACTGGAATAAGTATCTATACTGTGGTCCCACTGTGCCTTTTTGTACTTGTCCCAGAGAGGAATCCGTCATAAAACCAACATGTGGATGGGGGTCTGTGATGGGTCATTGATTGCACAATGTATTGTTGCCTGATCACTTGGAATGGTAGACTGGGCTTCTAGCTTCAGGTGCCTACAAAATATGGGAAGGCTCTTTTCACTGTCACCCTTATGGCCGTTTGGGATAGCCCTAAAGCCTAAAAGAGTGGGTTGTGTTTATTGTGCCTTTTTCTTGTTGTCCGAATGTGATTCGACAGACTGTGAGCGACCTCACTGCTTTTTCTGATTTGCATGAGAAAGTGAGAGTGGGGTTAAAATCTGGGCTGAAGCATCTTTTTTGTTTTAAGCCTGGTAACCCAGGTATGGCCAAGGGTGCCAGCTGTTCTTTTTTCCCCTGGGCAGGAGGGATGTGTGGCATGGTTTTCCTTGACTTCAGCCCCCTCTCCGCAGAATGCGCCGCCTCCAGCGGAAAGCAGAACCTCAGTGACGTCATCCTGGTTAATTTAGCCTATGTTTCGGATGTGGAAATCCTAAATGACCGCACTGAAACTCCTCCTCCGCTAGCCTCGCTGAATGTTAACAAGGTAAGGCTCACCTTCCCGGCACACTGAACTAAAGATCTGCAGCGAGGGCCAGCCTGCCTGCCGCTCGGCTGCTTCCTGAGGGTGTCTCCAACCCTACTTCTGGGGCCCTGGCAGATTTTATAAGCCAACCAGGGAGTGAGGTTTTCTCCCCCCCCCCCAGTGTTGGCACAGTATTGGCTGAGCATATGCATGCTGATGTCCCCGAGATGCATCGTGTCTACACACTCTCCTGTACTTTAAAGCTTGTACATGGTAAATGATTGGCTCAGACACATAGTCGTGCACAGGTTTTACTTCTCAGTTTTTGATGCAGCAGGTGTGGTAGTAAGGTGAGTGAGTTGTTTTATTCCGACCCTGGTGTATATAAGAAAAGGAGATGATCATTTTCTCCTAGTAATGCCTAAACCATACTAAATGCAACATTGATGCTTTTTTATATTCTCATTTAACTGCATTTTATACTGTATGGTAGTAACTAGGATGCTTTTTTTTTTTCCCTGTCATCTTTGGTTAGGATGGCCTATATAAATAAATGAGAGCACTGGGTGGTGTGAGCCGTGTCGTGACCTGAACGCGCGCGGTAGGGGAATGAGGGGGATCTAAACGGGTTCAGGTTTGATGGTGAAATTCTCTTCCTCCAGCTTGCCAACCGGGCACGAACAGAAAAGGAAGACAAGCTGTCCCAAGCATATGCAATTAGTGCTGGAGTGTCTTTGGAAGGCCAGCAACTTTTTCAGACTATACATAAAACGTAAGTGTCTGTCCGTTTTGTTTTTGCAAATAAAATTGTCACTTTTACAAGAAATGCAGCTGCCTAATGCCAGCGGAGCAAGAGGGGAGAAAAGATCCCTCCCCTGTCACACACAGTCAGACCTCTGCCCAGTGGACTCCACTGAAACCCATTTGTCTCCGATTCATCAGTGATGCAGCTTAATCTGTTTTACTCCTACGTCCCAAGAGCAGTATCGGGCGTCAGCTGACCCTGGCAGCTGGAAGTTTTAATAAAAGAAACATTTTAAAAGAGAGCATCCATTGTTGAATGGGGAGTAAGGCAGCCCTGGAGTGCAGCACTGAGATCCACTAGGGTAGCATGGTGATCAGGGCTGGCCGTCTTTTAACCCCAGGGTCCTGTGTTCTGTTCCAACAACGGGGTCTGTGACTCTTCCTATGGTTTTTGTCAGTGTTGTTATGCGGTTTTCCCATATCTGCTCCATTTCCCTCTCCTATCCCCAAGGCACACTAATGAGGTTAACAAACTTGAAAAAGGGAGCTGGTCTCCTAGCCTGACCACCTGTTGGCGGGTTGTAGTATCACCTCTGCCCTGTAGTCTCCGACTCCACACGGAGAAATAAGATAAACCACCCGGTATTTTCCTCAAAAGGAAAACTTAAGAGTAGAAATAGTTCTGTTTAAATCATTCACTGAGCTTCACTTTCGAAATGGACAGTATGTGGTTTACTTTCAAGTGAGCATTGCCGCTTTCAAATTGTATCAACGTCCTTATCTTTTTGTAAACTTAATCTTTACTCTTGAGGTGAGCCAATGAAATTTAATGCCAAAAAATCAGTTTGCCTCGTGTCATAGAAGCTCTTGTTTCTTCATCTGATTTCATTGACCTCCATTGTATTCCAGCATCAAAGACTGTAAATGGCAAGAGAAGAATATAATTGTGATGGATGACGTCGTAATTGCACCGCCTTACCAGGTTGAGAACTGCAAAGGCAAAGAGGGAAGCGCTTTAAGTCACGTACGCAAAATAGTAAGTATGACCCAGACCCCTGCGGCATGCTTTCGTTTAGGAAGGATCTCCATGATGTGATGCCAGAAACTCTTGCCTGTCTGTAGGACTGAATTCCCATTTACTCTGACCCTCAGCTGTAGCACAATCAAGTAAGGGAAATGAGTTCTTCCAATGTGTTATCTGTTCATATCACGCTCTGCAGATTTCAGTGTATCTATTCACGGTGGAGACACAGTGCAAGTTGAGCCACTGTGTTGTTGAAGCAGAGTCCTTTGGGGCTCAGTGATGCCCTTGGAATAGTTAACAATTGGTAGTCAAGAGGTTTGTGGCCCCACTGGCTGCCTTCTCTCTTCTGCAACCTTTATTTTACACTTGAATGTGCTGGATTTATTGCATGCTGGGGAAAGATCTTGGATTTGATGAGTAAGACGTGACTTTAGTCTTTGTTTGATCACTTGATCTTACTTACTGAAAACCTCTTAAATCTGTCTTGATGGCATAAGGGAGCACTAACAGCTTCACGTTCCTCGATCCACCATAATTAGTTGTCCAGTAGTGCTGACAATATTGCCACATCCTGGAGTGCAATGGGACACCTGAGCTTCAGTGGAGATTGAAGCAGATAGGGCCTGTGGTGACACTTTTTTTCTTTCTCTCTGTCACTCCACCTGCCTGCAGGTTGAGAAACATTTTAGAGATGTGGAAAGTCAGAAGTTGATGCAGCGTTCACAAGCACAGCAAACACAGAAGGACACCACTTTATCGTCTTGAGCCTGCAATTCCCTGTGAAGGCTGTTCCTTTCCATTGCCAGGCTGAGGCGCTGTTTCCCCACCCTGCTGATGCCAGGCAGGGGGGGGACAAGATCCATTTAATGTCTGGAAGACCGAAATAACTTAAAAGCTGAAAAATTCTGAAATTAGACTTCAAAACATAATTTAAAGAACCAACTGTAAAAGTTTACTCAACTAACTTTCCATCTGTCCTCCCTAGCCCACCTCTCCTCAAATCCCTTTTTTTCAAGAAAAATAGAGCAGTCCGAAAATGTTAGCTTTATTTTCTATCTTTTTTTTCATTTCCTTGCTGTATTCATGTTTCCAAGTTTTTTTTTCTCTGTATCTTAAAAAAAAAATGTGACTTGAATTACCACACTTTAAAAAGGACGTTTTCTAAAATAAAAGTAACAAAAAGAGTCTGACTGTAATACTGTAATTTTCATAGCTTTTTGGAAAACGAAAGGTTATTTTTTTAAAACGTTCTAGAAAAGGATGTTGCCAGTGTGGAGAACAAGTGGGCGAAAAAAAAAATTAGATTGTTCTAAAATTGCACCTTAAAAGGAAATTTAAGTTTGGGGGGCTTTTTTCATGAGGAAAAAATACAGAAGGGAGCATAGACATTACAAAGTAATGAGCTCTCCGATTTTTACTTTTTTGCTCCTGAGAAAAGGTCCTTTTGCTAAACCTCTCAAACCTTTGTTTTCTTTTAATTGTGTAATTTTTTTATGGTTTGTCATTTTCTATGCTGACATTTGTATGTGTCCTACAACTGTTTTTTTTAGTTTTTATTTTTTTTTTTACCCTTGCCAAAATTGAGTAGCTACGTCACTCCGATTTGCTGTGTGGGGAGTAATTTGCTTCAGTCTGTGATGTAGCAGGAAGGTATGGGCATTCGATTCCTTTTTACTCTTCCAGTTTTCGCTCCTCTGTATCTGGTGGTCGAGCTCCAAGGCCTTTGTAGACTGGTCTTCTAAACCTCACGGCCTCTGTGGCATTGAGGGAGGGGACAGTGCTATGAAGAACACAACTGGGAGGGCACGCCGGGTCTCCTAGTGTGGTACTTCCCAGTAAGCACAGTAAAAGAGCCCTTAACTGATGTATGACAATTGCAATTTTGCCATGCGATTACCTCTGAAGGCCTGGGACCATTGTGTGATGTGATTGTATTTAAAAATACATCAAGATAAATCAAAATGCAGTTTTGAGACTTTCCTGCGTTGTTCAGATGCATTCTTCCTACGCTGCTACATCATGGTGAGTAAGTTATTGCCCTCACCCTGTGCATTCCAACTTTGTTAGACTTAGGAATTTCTGTTCAGGATTTTTCTCAACAGGATCTCGGTTGATGAGTCCATCGGTAAACAGGCAGCCCTGATGTCCTTCCTGGAAAAGAAATGTAGAGATTTATGACAAACGGATATTTATGTTTTAACCATGTAGCCTAATGTAGGCTTGGCCAGTGGGTTTAGTGACATGTCATCCACAGTGTTTTTGAGAGCAATGTGAGCGAGGCTGTTGTAGGTTTCTTACCCAGTCTTTTATTTTATTTTTTAAAGAGCAAACATGAAAATAAAAAAAGGAAAAACAAACTTTTATTCTCTCTAGAGATTTGTTCTCAATCTTGTCTTGTAGGGAAGCGATTTACTATTGCAGTAGGGAGTAACTATTTCATCTAATGTTGACTGAGGGTCCTCTGTCAGGCAGCTATTATATAAAGTAGTGCCATTCTTAAAAAGAAAACCGTATAGTTAACATATAACAAATTACCCTGTTACACTGTATTTCCATTAACTCGTATTGATTGAGATTAAATATCATTGAGGGGAAAAATGTAGCTTAACCACTGAACAGATTCTGAAGAGTAGGTTGAGTTCTGGAGTTATCTCAACCCAAGACCACTGTTTGGAAACGGGCCACACTGGGTTTTTTTTTCCTCCATCTGAGTTATCACAGGTTGATTTCTGTTTGGGACATGGTATTTTGCATTCATCTCTCAAAAAGGTCAAGAGCTGCCCTCATTTGGTACTGCCTGAAAAAATAACCCATTGGACCTCTGAGACAGTACGTCATTTCCACTTGTTCTTTAGCAAATTATAATATAATAATTGCTTACACTTACATAGCACTTTTCTGGACACTCCACTCAGAGCGCTTTACAGGTAATGGGGACCCCTCCACCACCACCACCAGTGTGCAGCCCCACCTGGATAATGATCACCCATCAAAAGCTGCTGAGTCAGAAATAAAGGTAAGCATGTTGACCAGTGGAGAACAAGGCTCATGAATCTTGACATTTCTTGAACTTGGAACCAGGTGTAGACAAGTTAAAAGGTAAGAACAAGAAAACGGTTCACTTACAGTGATTAACAATAAAGGTTTGGAACTCTGCTGACAAGAATCCAGGATTGGGATGGTATTGCTCTATATAGATGATGGGCATCTCCAGTCATAAGACCAGATACCTGCAGGTTGTACTGCCACTCTTTAGGTAACGTTTGTTTGGAAGATGTTGCAACTTAGCTCAACTAAGACGCATGCAGGATGGAAAGAGAACCTGTGACTCTGGGACTGGAGTTGACAATCCCTACCTTATTCATTACTTATTTGCATTTAATGTAGCTCTGGCCACAGGATCCTTTCCAATGCTGACTGAAGACCGAGATGTCGGGTGTAGGGGTTGCCCCCTGAGCTTCCAAGTTTGGTCACTGAGAGCCAATCACTGCCCAGGTGCTGCAGGCATTGTGGGAAGGACAGTGAAGGCAGCAGTCAGCTCTGATGGGGGCACCTGGAGGAAAGCAAACAGCCTCATCGCTGCAGCACTACAGGAGCGATTTCAAATTGGGGGGTAGACAAGATAATGGGGAGTCCGGTTTAAAGGGGGGGGGGAACCCTGTGCACTCTTCCATTGGTGCATTGCTCTGCATGCCTGACTTGCTGATATGCTACACTCCCCACTGGAGACCCGCCTCTGATAATGCTGAGTCAGTACCCCGTGCTGCACCGCCACTGTTCACGAGTCAGGTGATTCTGAGCTCGGGGGCACCGAGCCCTGTGGGAAAGGAAATCAAGCTGAAAACGTGCAGTACTAGAGTACAAATAATCCAATTAAGTGCCTGAGAAGAATGCACTGTATTTGAGAATTTCATCCCTGGAAGAATGTACAACTTATCCTGGTATTACTTGTGGTGAGGGAGGAGCAATTTGCAGCAAGGAATTCACTTAATCTTGCCGAGCCACTTTGTAGTTCTTGATAAATTGCTAAGATTTAAAATTCGATAAGCAAGCTGGTTATTAGCTTATCTGTTATTATTAGCTGTACCTAATTGTAGGTATGGTATTTGTAACAAAACTCCTCGAATTCTTTAGCCCTCTGAGGACTGGGCTTGTCTTAATTGAAGTCCTTGCTTAACCGATCGACAGATAACTTGTAGGTGTTTCCATCCTTGACAAACAGGTGACCTATATAAGACTAGCTGGACTGAGGAGGAGGTGTGACATCATGATGGGCTCAGATTCTTTAACGGTACCTCGGCAGCTTGCTTATCTGCCCAGCCCCCGCTGATGGGGTAGACAGCAGGGCAGAGCAATGTGTTGGGGGGGGCAGCCCTCTTCCCCTTGGGCACAGGAAATTGACCCACCCTGGAAGGAAACGTTAAATCATAAAGGCCAACCAGTGACTGGGTGTCTTTAACAAGTAGGAGGAAGAGCCATACAAATGTGGGGTGAGCATGCAAACTCCACACCAACAGGTGCCCAAGACTGCAGCAACAAGCCGGCTCTAGGTGTGTAGTTTATTTATGCTCGACTCCAATAAAGCCAAAACTCAATATAGAGTATATGTAGAGCATAACTGAACAAGGATTCACATTTTGACATTTTAAATGGGGGTATTCTTTCTCATTTTGTATTGGTTTTCTTAATTAATTTCTATATATAGTACTTTGTCTTAAGGCGGCGTGTGGTAGATTTCCAGAGATAGGTCACTGAAGAGAAACCTCGAACATAATCTTTTGCTTACCCTGTAGTCTGTGATTCTTAAATATCGATCCTGTAGTAACTTCAGAATGTTTATTTCCAAAGGCACCTAAGATAAAAAAATCTGCTTTAGATGCTTAATTCGACGTCTCACTTGTACGTCGTTCCATTGTGGGATTTCTACGTTCACAGTTTCCTCCCCACCTTCACGGTTTACTGTTGGCAAATCACTAAATCAAATCGATGAGGATGACTGTTCACCACTCCTTCACTGCTTCATTTCCGGAACATGCGTCCGTGAGATGGGGAAGATCGTGTAAATTACGGCCCTTCACAAACCCGTGCGTCTCGTTTTGGCATCGGTTAATAACTTGCTTCATGCGGCGCAGGGGTATTGAATTATAAATAGCTGAATGGCGACGGTGTTGCACCGCGAGCTTCCGCCTGCAGGTTCTCCCAGTGCTGAGCGAACTCTGGCGCTGGTGCGTTTCTTACCCTCGCCAGCAGATGGCGCGATTGATGCCTCGCTGGCGAGAACTTCAACTCTACCAGGGAACGGTTTAGGTGAGTTATCGCGCAATAAAACCTGGAAAGGTATCAGTGAAGCAGAAATATCGTTTAATTAACTTTTATTTACACTGAACAAAATAGCGAAAAGTGTCAACAGAATGTGTGTTCGGTTGTATGCTACAGGCTGTTAAGACGCATAAGGTTGTACAAGACAATTGGGCAATTCTAAACACGAACATCGTGAAAATCAGCAGACGCACCTCGAAATTCACGTTACAATACAGTGTGGGTTTTTAAACGGGACGTTTGATTAGGGGTATCATACATTAACACAAAGCAAATCTAGAGCGAATTTGTGGCGAGTCTTTTTCATAAATGGCGATTCACACAACAGCTCTCGATTGTGTTTGCAATCATTGTTCATTCCATGAAATAAGTTATTTTTGACGCTGATAAACGATCCATTGTCGTCCAGGGGGGAATATCGCAAGTATAGCCAAAATGAATTTTGGCGAACAGCCCACCTCAAAACAACAACCGTCATGCTTCTATGAGGTTTCAAAAACACTTATTTTCATAGCTTTCAGTAATTGCGTCATAATTGTTCAGAAGCAAAGCTTTGAAATTACATCAGAATATGGTTTACTGTGCCATCAGTACAGAAGGGATAAGCCGCCCACGCTACCCTGGTGGTCAAGAAAGTCCGTGTACCTAATAATTTTCCCGAGTAAAACCTCTCACAAAGTAGGATTTTCTCGGAACTGCCGCTATTTTCTAGATATGCACACGTACATTTGCCGTCCCTACATTAATCCCTGAAACTATTTCATCGTATTTACCACGACAGCGGGGGGGATTATTTAGAAACGGAATTATTGACGTGGCCATCTTATATAATGCCCACCAGCCCTCAGATTTAGTGCGCACCTAGTGGAAGAGCCGGAGATCTCTTGCAAGCCCGTGGTGTCGTACTCGAATCTCTCGATCGCCGGGTTCAACCAGTTTTAAACAAGACTGGGTTAGTGGGCAGCTAAGAATCAAGACCGTCTCTTCGGGTGTGAGTCACTCCACTCCCCTCACACCCGAAGAAGGCTCCACGGCCGAAACGTTGTGTTTTCCGTCTGCCTGCAATACACCTATTACTTGTTCCTACCAGTCCGTCAGTGCACTATGGGAGGAAACCCACACTTTGTCCAGTGGAAGATGTCACTGATGGCCACAACGCTGCAGTGTGCAGTAACAAGACCTGTTCACAACGCATCCGACCACGCTCGCTATAAAAGCTGTTAACCTTCTTAAAGGGGGCAAAGAAAACAAGTCGGCCTTCTTACAGGGAATGTATGTTTTTAGAGATTCTGATTGGCTGAGGCGGCAGGACCTGTCGCAGATGGAAGCCCCCCCGGACACACACACAGCCAATTCGTTTAGGCAAAACACATTTCGCGTGTTTTTAAGCCTCCTGCAGAAATTAAGTCTGACTAATCCTTTCCGAGGAAGGCCGCTGGATGTGATATCTAGCGAATACACGATACTTGAAACGTTTCATTTTCCCTCCTTTAATAATTGATCTCATTTAAGGGGGCGCTTTCCACTGCCTAACAAAAGCGGGGCGCTGATAATCTAGAAACCCTACTCCCCTGATCCCCTGGTAAACACGACCTTCTATCCATTATTCAGAACTACGGGGGCTGGTGTTCCCTCGTCCCCGACACGCGGCTCGTGTCCTCTAGCGCGTCCCCCTGTGCTTTCACTGCCCAGAGGTTCCTCTGCGGGACGCATTGCTGCCGCGCTGTCTCCCTCAGTGCCGATAAAGCCCGGAACACACAGCACGTCGTGTTTTCGCTAAGCCGTGAAAGAAGCGCAGGCAGAGCGCGGTGTAAACGGAGCTCC